GCGCGCCCGCGGCGGGGTACGAGGGCGCCGAACGGGCACAGGCCTGCCCCGGGTCCCGCCTGCCTAGCCAGCCCCGCGATGTTGGGGGAGGGGCGCGGCCGGCGACTCGTGCGTTCCCCGGGAGGGTCCGTGAACCTGGGGCTGGGGGCCGGACCGTAGCGCGTGGTGACGGGGGCCACGGGAACTCTTGATGCGCTCTGCGCCATGGAAACCCCGTGGTCAGCTTCCAAGAGGCCAGTGCAGCGCCACTTCTTCTCCCACTGGCATCCTTAGCGGGGCTTCGGTTCCACGTCTGCGCTCGGGCCCAGGCATCCAGCCCGGGGCCCGCAGTGGGAGCGTTCCCTGGAGGTGTGCTGTGATGGGGACTTCACGCCTTTGTGTGGCGGAGGCATGGCTATGGGGGTCCCGGGCCCTGAGCTGGCGAGTAAGCGCCTGTTGAGAACTGGCTCCTCTGCTCACACTCCAGCGGGGACCAACGATGAGCCCACAGACAAGACGGGCTCTGAGAAAAGCTGTGGGAAGGAGCCAGCGATGGTATCCTGCACTAGGGGGATCAGGGAGGGCCTCTCGGAGGTGCGGGAAGAGCCTCCAGACAGGCCCACATAGATGAAGGGCCAGCGGGAAGAGGAGAGGAAGAGGAGAGCCGGCGGAGGACCTGAGCTTCTGAGGGTGGGGAAGTTAAGGGTATCCTGTCAGTGAAGGAGCGGAGCCTCCCACGAGGGCAGGAGAAACCCCAGCCTCAGAACCCCTGCTTGCCAGACCTCCTCAAGGAAGCTGGTTCCTGAGGGTCAGAGGGAGTGGGGGTCCAGCCTCCTGCAGAGTCAACATCTTGGGCCACTCCACCAGAGGGATCAAAGCTCCCTGTTGGGGCCCACTCCTGCCCATCCTGCACCTGGTTCCATAGAGCCCCCCAGACCACAAGGCCAGGGGTCTAGGGTTGGTCCTGATGCGCCAGCCCCCACAGAGCCCATGCATACTGGACCCACCACAGTCTTGAGTGTCCTAGAACTGCTCTGTCCCTAAAAGAAAATACACACATGCACCCCCCACCTGCCCCCACAGGGCAGGACGTGAGTGTGACCCACCATCACACACACACCCCCAAATATCAGTCCACAGGGCAGGACGTGAGCGTGACCCCCTGTCATATGCACCCCACACAGCAGGATGTGAGCGTGACCCACCATCACACACACAAATGTCAGCCCACAGGGCAGGACGTGAGCGTGACCACTATCACACGCATCCCCACCTGTCAGCCCACAGGGCAGGATGTGAGCGTGACCCACTCACACACATACACACCCAAACAGTCAACCCACAGGGCAGGACATGAGCGTGACCCACGTCACACATGCCCCCCCACCTGTCAGCCCACAGGGCAGGACGTGAGCATGACCCACTCACACAACAAAACCAGCTCTGGTTTTCCAAGTAGCCACAGGCCTCCCCTAGTCTGCCTTTCTCAGTGGAAGTCAGAGGGGAGTAGGGCACAGGGAACTCTCACTCCTGAGGTCCCTTTGCTCCCACCCAACTGGCCCAGAAGCCTGTCCTCTGCCCTTTGTCTCTGGTGGGCAGGAGTCTTGGGAGATAGGAACCTCAGGGTGGCTGCTGCTCCCAGAAGCAGCTTTGACCACACAGTAGAGGTGTCAGCTCTAGGCTGAAGCCCCCTCTGCCCCGACACCAGGGCTCCTGACTGCCAGTGCTGTCTTCGTTTCCCGCAGGGTGGGTTTCTCAGGGAGGTGACATGGGAGTGGGACTTCTGGGTGAAGAGTGTCCTCCCAGGTGTCCTGGCAGACCATGCTGGCAGAGGTCCCTAAGGGGGCAGGAGGCCGAGAGCATGTTGGTGGGCACGTGTGTCCCAGGGATGTGTCTGTGGTCCAGCTGCACAAGACCTCCAGTACCTGGGCTTTGCTCAGCAGGCTGTGGGCATTGGTTGGGATCCTCTTAGGGGCTCAGTCGGACAGAGGGTCTGACTGGGGGAAGGCCCTGGCACAAAGAGCAAGTGGACAGCCCCCATAGGAGCCATAGCCTGAGGGGACCATGGGCAGGCACCTCCCCTGAGAAGGATTGATTCTAGATCCTGAGGTCTGAAAATGGTCCTAGATATTGAAGCCTGGACTTGGCCCTGGAGTGGGCATCTCTGGGGTGGGAGGACCAGGAGAAGGCAGAGTTGGGTGAGGTGAAGTCTCCCCTTCAGAGGCTCAGGTGCCGGGCTGCGGAACCCCCTGGGAGATGGGCTGGGATGGTCAGGTCCACAACTTGGGGAGGGTCAAGAGAACAGAGCTGGGTCCAGTGGTGGTCTGCCCCAAGCTGGGGAGATGTCTACCAGCAGACCCGGGAAATCCGCCCATGGGACAGTGTCCATGCACAATCACTATGACCAGGATCCTCCAGCAGCCGGGATAGCACACACCCCTCCTGTCCAGGCTGGTGGCCAGGCCTTGTTCAGCCCTCAGGACAGCAAGACTGGGTGGGTGCTGCCCGCCATGTTTTGTTGGCCCGTCTCGGAAAGGCCAGTGAGGGATAAGATGGGGCTTAGACCAGCATGGTTGGTCACAGGCCCCCACTAGCCCTCCAATATCAGGTCTGTTAAGAGAGGTGGACATGAAACTCGACCCACTGGTAAGGTGCTTAAGAAAGAGGAACAGCTGTCAGACCAGCCCTCGAACCTCCTGGAGGAGGAGCTGCCCAGTGAGGGTGGTCACACTGGTGTGCATGTACACTCAACCACACTAGTGTGCATGTAACTCCTTGCACCATCCAGCCAGGTGGGATTGGGCAGAGGGCACTTGCCTAGCTGGAGTGGCTCAGGGGAGCAGATGCGGGGAGGAGAGGCTTCAGTGGGATTGGAGGCTCCGGCCCACCCAACTTGCTGCCACAGCAGAGCACATGCCTGGGCCCCACCATGCCCCACATGCTACCTGCAGAGAGTGAGAAGCTGGCTGGGGTGACTGATAGCCGGGGCATCCGGGCTGCACCATCCACACAGAGGGCTGAGGACTCCAGTGAGAGCCGGGAGGAGGAGCAGGTGGTAAGCAGCCAGCGTGTGCCTTTGGGGAAGGACACAGCCACACAGCTACCTGTGTGCACCATGGGTGGAGTGTGTGGGAGGAACACCCTCCAGTGGTGGCCATGTCTTGTCTGTGGAGGCTCCCCACACTTTGCATGTCCCAGACACGAACAGACGCCTCCCACTTGGCAGCCTGTGCCTGCATCTGGGTGGACAGAGGTGGAATGGTTGCATGTATGTTCCAGCTGTCTGTGTGCAAAGTGGCCAGTGTCTGGCTTTGTGATGAAGGTGCCTCTGCATGTGTGGCCAGGATGTGATGGAGATCAGGGTCTGTGCAGCAGAGCCTGTGTTTTTAGAGTCATGTGGAAAGGACTCTGAAGCGTGTCTGTGTGTGTGTGTCTGGGTGTAAGACAAGTGATGTGGATGGAACGTGCTTCTTGACCCACGTGCCTGTGTGACCGCCCCCTCCAGTTCCACGTGTGTGTGTCGGGGCACGGGTGATGGTTATGTGACCCCCTCCCTGCCCACATGTGTGCGTGTGCATGCTCACATCAGTAGGGGTTTGTGGCTGGGTGACCCCTCCCAGTCTTCCCATCTCTAAGTTCTGACCCTGTACCCTTTCTTTGTCACAGGCAGAAGGTCAGGGCCCAAACATGCTCTTTCCTGGCGGTGCTGTAAGACCACCCCCCCTGAACCTCACTCGTCAGAACCCCCCATGGCGGGAAGAGGTGAGTCTGCTCCCCTGTGATGGGGGTGGGGCAGGGGTGGGGCCAGCTTGGGTGGATGGTAAGGGCTCCTCCCCTAGTACCAGGGACGCGTGAACCTGCACGTATTTGAGGACTGGTGCGGTGGGGCCGTGGGCCACCTGCGGAGGAACCTGCACTTCCCCATGTTCCCCCACGTGAGTGTCAGGGTGGTGGCTGTGGGGGCAGGGAGGGAGGGGCTACGGGGGTGGGCAGTGGCTCTGATACCGAGGTGGGTGACCTCCCCCCAGACTCGAACCACTGTGAAGAAGCTGGCCGTGTCCCCCAAGTGGAAGAATTATGGACTTCGGATTTTTGGCTTCATCCACCCTGCCAGAGATGGTGCGGGGGTGGGGATGCACGGCGGTGGGGTCCTCAAGGGCCCGTCCACCTGCCTGAACCCCTGTCCCGTGGCCTAGGAGACGTCCAGTTCTCTGTGGCCTCAGATGACAACTCCGAGTTCTGGCTGAGCCCCGATGAGAGCCCAGCAAGCGCTCAGCTCGTGGCCTATGTGGGCAAGGTACCCACAGCCCCCTCCGCAGGCTGTGCCTCCCAGTCCCCACAGGCTACCACCTCATGCCCCCACCTTGGCTCCCACCCTCAAGCCCTCCATCCATGCTCCATCTGTCTTCACCTCCCTTCCCAAGGGCACTTTTGTGGACAAGGTACCCCCACAGTCCCCACTCACAAGCCCCAGTCCCCTCTTGTGGCACCCTCTCCTCCGGCCCCATGTACCTTGACACCCACCCAGCAGACCCTGAGTACTCACTCATAGTCCCTTGGTTCTCACCCTGGCCCCCCCCCCAGCTTCCACCAAGCACCTCCCCACCTGCCCCACATGGGCCCCAGCTCCCACCCCACAGTGTCCTCACTGCCCCCCTCACAGTCTATGGCCCTCACAGTCCCCGTTCCCCTACTCCACAGCCCTCCATCTATACCCCGTCTGTTCTCACTGCACCTCCAGGGGCCTCAGTCACTTATCCCTTTAGCCTCTTAAGAATGAAGGCTGGTGACCTCTTTGCATCCCTTCCCCAGACTGGCTCAGAGTGGACGGCACCTGGAGAATTCACCAAGTTTAGCTCCCAGGTGTCCAAGCCCAGGCGGTGAGTGCCTGGGGGAGGTGCATACATGCATGCGTGCGAGTGTGTATGTGTGTATTCCTCTGAGTGTGTATGTGTGTTCGTCTGCATGTGTAACTGTGTGTGCATGTGTGTTCATCTGCATGCATAACCATGTGTGTGTGTTTATCTGCATATGTCATTGTGTCCGTGTGTGTGTTCATCTGCATGTGTAACCGTATGTGCATGTGTGTGTTCATCTGCATGTGTAACTGTGCATCCGTGTGTTCGTCTGCATATGTAACCATGTGTGCGTGTTTATCTGCATATGTAATTGTGTCCATGTGTGTGTATTCATCTGCATGTGTAACTGTGTGCATGTGTGTGTGTTCACATGGGGGCTTAGCGGGCAGGAGGCCTGTGTAACTGTGTGTCCACGTGTGTGTGTTCATCTGCCTAAGTAAACATGTGTGCATATGTGTGTGTTCGTCTGCATGTGTAACCGTGTGTGCATGTGTGTGTGTTCACCTGCATGTGTTCACCCATGTGTACTTGTATGTGTGCATGTGTTTATTTGTGCATGTGCATGAGGAGAGATGGTGATGGATCACTTGGTCACGTTTGCACACACGCACATCTGAAACCACTGTACGTGTACCATCCCAGCCAAACCGTCCCTCTCCCATGGGCCTGGCCCTGAGCCCCCCACATACTCTCCATCCATCTGGTCCTCCACAGCGTGGGTGGACATAACTCTCTGGCTCCCTGTGTCCCCAGGCTCATGGCCTCCCGGAGGTACTACTTTGAGCTGCTGCACAAACAGGATGACCGAGGCTCAGACCACGTGGAAGTGGGCGTGAGTGCAGCCCTACAACCAAAGGGTCTTCACAGACACCCCCCAGCCCACCCTCACTGTTGCCCTGGGCCCTCTAGCACTCCCCAGCCAAGAACACCCTCTGTCTGTCTGTCACTGCAACACACACTTGTCCTGGGCGTCAGCACAACCACAGAGAGGAATTTCCTGAGTCGCTGACATAGCAGCATGGGGAGCAACAGTGGGGCAGAGATCCCACTGATGGGCAGGGGTCCAAGAGGTGACCCTTGAGTAGCAGCTTGAGAGATGAGTAGGTCTTGGGCAGTGCAGCAGGTAAGTGCAGCCACAGGGAACAGCCAAGGAGTGGAACAGCCAGCATCTCCTAGAACCCCAAGGGGTCTAGGTGGCCAGATCACATACAGCCTCAGCACCACACTAGACAGCTCAGGCTTTGTCGTGAGGGCACGAAGTCATCAGTGTGCATTTTAGGGAACACTGGCCACCGTGTGGAGAGAGATGGGAGCTTAGCAGGCAGGAGGCCTTTACACAGCCCACCTGCACCTGGACCAGGGAGGTGGTGGTGGGAATGTGAAGAAGTGGCAGGTTGGCAAGGGCCTGAAGTGTAGGGACAGGACACCATCCCTGAGGACAGGGCGGAGATGGGGAGCTCAGCTCTGTGACATTTTTGGTGTGTCTGCTATGTATGCTGGTGACGCCAGCCTGGGGTGACCTGGCTGAAGCTGAGGGTTTAGAATAGTAAGAAGGCCTGGGCTAGTGCCCTGAGGCACCCCAACTTGAGAGAAGTAGGAAGAGGGGCAGAACTTGCCAAGGAGCAACCTCAGAGGTGGGGGGACCAGGAGGGAGACCACCCAGCTCCCCAAAGCAATGGCAGCAGAACTGAATGTGACAGACAAGTGACCAGCAGGCAAAGAAGGAAGTGTCCAGAGTGCCCCACCAGCCCCTCAACCCCTCCTGGGCCTCTTTCCTCACCTTCCCCTTCTCAGGCCCCAGGATCCCTGTCCAGCCACCCCTGAGCTAACCACACCCGCTAAAGAGTTGTCCCCCTTAGCTACCCTCCTTGTAGGAAAGACCCCACCTGGATCCAGCCACATCTCTGTCCCAGACACCTGCCCTTAGGCCTTGACCACTCTGTATCCCCAGTGGCGTGCTTTCCTGCCGGGCCTGAAGTTTGAGGTCATCGACTCTGACCACATCTCCCTCTATACAGGTGTGGGTCTGGGTGCCTCTTGGGAGCATGAGGGGCTGGTGGCCATAAGGGGGGTGGCCTCCTGGGGATGGCCTAGAGCTGGCAGCGGGAAAGGTTTCCAGGCCACCCACACATCCCTCTGCCCCCAGACGAGTCGGCCCTGAAGATGGACCATGTGGCCCACGTTCCCCAGTCTCCTGCCAGCCACGTGGGGGGACATCAGCCAGCAGAGCCTAGTGCGGACATGCTGCGCCCTGACGCCCGAGACACGTTCTTCCTCAGTAAGAGGGCCAGCCAGGGGCATGGGCAGGGTCTGGGCCTGGCGGCGCTGTGACCACCCCCTCCCACAGCTCCTCGGCTGGAGCCTGGGCGCCTGGAGAATGTGCTGGAACCTTGCGCCTACGCCCCCACCTACGTAGTCAAGGACTTTCCCATTGCAAGATACCAGGGTCTGCAATTTGTACGTATCCTCCCCAAGACTTTCCCAACAGCCCATTGGCGAGCCCCCCTGAGCCTGCTCCCACCCCTGCCCTGAGCCCTCCAACTGCTCCTCAGGTGTACCTGTCCTTTGTGTACCCCAACGACCACACGCGCCTCACACACATGGAGACGGACAACAAGTGCTTCTACCGGGAGTCGCCCTTGTATCTGGAAAGGTGGGGGTGGGGAAGATGGGGGGTGGGGGTGGGCTCGGGGGTGGGTCTCTGAAGCCTCCCTTCCCTGCCTGACCCCAGATTCGGGTTCTATAAATACATGAAGATGGACCAGGAGGAGGGGGACGACGGGGAGGAGGAAGTGCAGCGCAGAGCCTTCCTCTTCCTCAACCAGGAGGGTAAGCGCCCCATACCCCGCACCCTCACACCCCCCTGAGCTGTGGGGGTGACCACATCCTGCTCCCCGCAGACTTCCTGGATGACGAAGAGGAGGGGCGCGGGCTGCTTGACAGCCTGGAGCCCTCAGAAGCAACCGGGCCGCAGAGCCGGCACCCGTCCATGGTCACCACCAGGGCCACTCCTTGGCCACCAACGCCAGCTGAGCCCCGTGACACCGGGCCCCGCCGGCGCTCACGGGCATTGAGCTGGGCCGCCCGGGCACCACTGCAGCCGCTCTTCCTGGGCCATGCTCCGCGCCCCCACCCCAAGGCCCAGCCACCGCCCCCCAAGGTGTACGTGACGCGGGTGCGGCCAGGGAAGCAAGCGCCACCCCGGGCCCAGGCACCACTCAGACACCGTGGCCCACCCTGGGCCCCCTTCCCTGGCGTTTTTCTCCACCCCAGGCCTTTACCCAGGGTGCAGCTGCGGGCGCCACCACGGCCGCCCCGGCCCCTTGGCCTCAGGACCGGCGTCCCCCTGGCCCGGGTGCAGGCCACCCGGGGACACCAGGCACGCACACCGGGCCTCCCGGCGCCCACAGGAGACTCGAACTTGTCGTCCGAGGCGCGGCCTGTGACCTCCTTCCTGAGCTTGTCCCAGATGTCCAGGCCCCAGCTGCCAGGCGAAGAGGAGGAGGAAGAAGAAAGGGAGGAAGACGGGGCCCCAGGTGATGAGGCCACTTCGGAGGACAGCGAGGAAGCTGCCCCCGGGGGGCACCACGGCCGCTGGCCAGAGGACAGCATTGACTGGCAGCGCACGTTCAGCGTAGCCGCTGTAGACTTTGAGCTGCTGCGCTCAGACTGGAACGACCTGCGCTGCAACGTGTCGGGGAACCTGCAGCTGGCCGAGGCGGAGGCAGTAGACGTGGTGGCCCAGTACATGGAGAGGCTCAACACACACCATGGCGGGTATGGGGGCCCTGCAGAGGGAATTCTAGGCCTCCGTGGGTCATCAAGGCCCACAGGGTGCCCTGTGACATGGCCCCCACTGCTATCACACCTTCTGGGGGACACCAGGCAGGCTCTTTACAGACCAGGGGCCATCCCAGACAGGACCCTCACACCAGAGCCCCACCCCAGGCCTGCTCCCTTCTTGTCTGTGTACCTCTAAACCCTGGATGGATGGACCTGAGCCCCAGAGGCCTGGGGACAGAGAGCTTGACCCAAGGTCAGGCCTGGGGCGCCTGGGCCTTCCTCCCTACACAGCAGCTCCTGGGTGTTCTCAGAGGGTACAGACTTGGCTTGGGGGAGTGGTCAGGACTCCTGTCCTGCTTGGCCCCTCTGGTCTCCCCTAGGCCCCAGGAATCCCCTCTTGTCTTCTCCTTGTGCAGCCAAACCCAGCAAAATGGCCACCAATTCGGCCTCAGGGCCACACCAGGTGTCAGAAGAGGCTGAATCTGGGTTGGGATGACTTTGAGAGGTAGAACCTAGACAGAAGAGATGAGGAGGTGAGATGTTGAGGCAGGAAGCAGGGAGGAGGCAAGGAGTTGAGGCAGGAAGCAGGCATTTGGCCGTGGGGGATGGTGAGGGGGGAAGGAGACAGGCCAGTCATGGGCCTCGAAGGCTACTCAAGGCCTTGGTTTTCTTGTGGATAGTGGGCAGTTTTGAGCAAGGAAAGGAGCAGAGCTCCCTTAAGGAGCTTTGGTGGTGTGGTGGCTAAGGCATCTAGGCGCTAAGCAAAAAGGTTGGTGGTTCCAACCCATCGGCTGCTCTGCAGAAGAAAGATGGAGCAGTCTGCTTCCATAAAGATTTACAGCCTTGGAAGCCCAATGGGGGTGACTGTGAGTTGGAGTCGACTCGGTGCCAGTGAGTTGTTTCTTATGTGCAGCCTTGGGGGAGGGAGAAGACCCTGAGGACCCTGACTGAGATGCTGGCCCTGGCCCAAGACTGAGGGGCTGGCCAGACCCCTCCTGGGGCTGAAGGACTTTGGCTCCAGGAGATTGTGGGGCAGGCTGCCCTTGGCTCTAAGTGTCCCAAGTGGGGCTTAGCACCCCATGGGCACAGGGGTCTGTCCAGTGTGAGAAGTCATGGCTGGAGCCACCATCTCTCACCTGAGGGTGTGTGGGAGTCCTCAAGGAGAAGGTATGGAGAGAGACCCAGAGTGTTTGGGATGGATGATCCTGCTACCTGGGGACACTGAGGGGCTGGATAGGATGGAAGGGGGGAGCCTGGGCTCCTAGGAAGACTCATGGGTGGACTCCAGGGTGAGAGGCCCTGGCAGAGAAGGGAGGGGACCACTGAGGGCGAGAAGAGATGTCACTCAGGGCAGGGGCATCTTCTCAGCTTGAGGGGAGAGTGGAGCCACTGAGGGTGGCACACAGGCCTGAGGGAGGAGCCAGAGTGGGGCAGGACCCAGTGTCCCTCCACTGGGGGATTGAGCCTGAGGCAGGTACCCAAGAGCCTTCTGGGAGAGGGTCCCAGGAGCTGGGATTTTTAGGGGAGGGACCTGGGGAGGGTTGGGCCATGCATCCCAGACAGGACACCTAAGGACCAAGACACGGGCAGTGCCCTGAAATGAGGGCGTCAGGAAGAATGCCACATTAAGAAATTAGAGCTTTGACCTGCAGGCAGTGCGAGCCCTGGAGGTCCTTGAGCAAGGGAGAAAACCTGCCCTGTACAGGCGAGGGGTTCCGAGAAGGCCTGGGAAACGGGAGGCCGGCAGGGCCCAGGCAGCAGTAGCCTCTGCTCAGCCTCCCGGTGGCTCTGCCCTGGGAGCGGAGCGTCCTTGGACACCTGCTAGGACTCCCAGCGGTGCAAGGTGTGGCCGTGTGATGCGGCAGCGTGGGCCCGGCCGGGGGGACGGAGGGGATTGACCCTGGGCGGCCTTTCCCACCCATCTGTGGAGTCCGTGGCCTCCTCGAAGCCCTCCTCACCCCGCCTCTCAGGCGCTTCGCACTTCTGCGCATCGTGAACGTGGAGAAGCGCCGCGACTCGGCGCGCGGAAGCCGCTTCCTGCTGGAGCTCGAGCTGCAGGAGCGCGGGGGCGGCCGCCTGCGCCTGTCCGAGTACGTCTTCCTGCGGCTGCCGGGGACCCGCACCGAGGACGCGGACGGGGACTCGGGGAGCCCTGCGACCGCGCCCGCCGCCGCCTCGGCGGGCCCCGACGGCCGTCCGGAGCTCTGCCGCCCGCTGCACCTGGCCTGGCGCCAGGACGTGATGGTGCACTTCATCGTCCCAGGTGGGACTGTCCCCACCGACTAGGGTGACCTCCTGGGCTCCTCGCAGGAAGAAGGGGGAGGGCTATCGCCACGGAAAGGGGTGACACAGAGGGGACCTGGAGCTGGAGGACGTGGGTGGCGCTCACTGGCCTCTCCCCCAGTGAAGAACCAGGCGCGCTGGGTGGTGCAGTTCCTGACGGACATGGCTGCGCTGCACGCCCACACTGGGGACTCGCGCTTCAGCATCATCCTGGTGGACTTTGAGAGTGAGGACATGGACGTGGAACGCGCCCTGCACGCGGCGAGGCTGCCCCGGTAACGCCCCCCCCCCCATCCCCAGGTGGCTGGGACCAAGCCCGTCTCCTTCCGCTGGAGGTCAGTCCGTCTGTCCTGGGAACGCCTACCTGTGGCTCTCCCGCCAGGTACCAGTACCTAAGGAGAACCGGGAACTTCGAACGCTCAGCAGGGCTACAGGCAGGAGTGGACGCTGTGGAGGTGCGCGGGCCGCTGGGGCAGCCGACGAGGGCGCTCTGGGAGGGCAGGGCGGGGCTCAGACCTCCCCACCCTCCAGGATGCCAGCAGCATCGTCTTCCTGTGTGATCTGCACATCCACTTCCCTCCCAACATCTTGGACAGCATCCGAAAGCACTGTGTGGAGGGCAAGCTGGCCTTTGCGCCTGTGGTTATGCGCCTGGGCTGTGGGAGCTCACCTGGGGACCCTCACGGTAAGCCGTACCCCTCCCAGTAACACCAGGACCCCAAGGTAATGCCAGATGCTAGGGACTTCCTTCAGTACCTCCCAGTCATGTACAGGCCTGGTTGTGACCCCAAGACAGGAGAGTGGCCTCTGTGGTGTTGAGACCCTGCCCAGATCCTCTCCCGAGCAGCCCCTGAGGTTTGTGAAAACTCTGTGAGAGGGCCTCACAGGACCAGGGCTCTGAATGGCACCCCTTCCCCAGGCTACTGGGAGGTGAATGGCTTCGGCCTCTTCGGGATCTACAAGTCGGATTTTGAGCGGGTCGGGGGCATGAACACCGAGGAGTTCCGTGACCAGTGGGGGGGCGAGGACTGGGAGCTCCTGGACAGGTGACCACCTCATTCCCACATGGACGTAGAGGAGAACCCAAGTCCTCCTCCTCCTCCAATGTGGGGGGTTACAGGCCCCTAGAGGTCCTCTGCCCCTCCCCCTACCTCCCCAGTAGCCCCAGAGAGATCCTTGGGCCCCGATTCCTCCCTAAAACCCCATTCCCACCACCACCTGTCCCAGATCCTATAGACTCAGTGCTATCCCTAAACACCCAATCCCAGCTAAGGGTCTTCCATGCCCACTGGGGCCCCAACCTTGCCTGTCCTCCTTTGAGGTCTTGCAATAGTGGCAGCCCTGACACCCTACCCCTGAACTAAGGTCTTGACCACTTCCATCCCCCTTCCCCAAGGTCCTGCAGGCTCAGGGGTGGCCTTAACTCCTCTCTGAGAGGCCTGACACACACCCCCGCCCCCCAGGTCCTGCCGGCTCAGCCCTGACACACACCCCTCCGCTCCCCAGGGTCCTCCAGGCTCAGCCCTGACACACACCCCCGCCCCCCAGGTCCTGCCGGCTCAGCTCAGCCCTGACACACACCCCTCCGCTCCCCAGGGTCCTCCAGGCTCAGGCCTGACACATACCCCCATCCCCCAGGGTCCTTCAGGCTCAGCCCTGACACACACCCCTCCACCCCCCAGGGTCCTCCAGGCAGGGCTGGAGGTGGAACGGGTCCGCCTTCGGAACTTCTTCCACCACTACCACTCAAAGCGGGGCATGTGGGACACACGGAGCCAGAAGGGCTCCCAGACAGACTGACCAGCTGCCTACTAGTCCCCTGCCCTGGGTGGTGGCCTGCTCTCGGGCCCCTCCCTCCTGACAGCAGGGCGGGCTGGGCCCAGCCCCCACACTGCGATGATTTCTGTGAAATTTTGCTGTAGTGACCATTGTTTGCAGGATTTCCAAGAGTTCTGTCTGTTTTGTTTTTTATTCCAAATGAAATGAAATATTTTCTTTAGTTCTGAGTGGTCCCTGTGCCTGGTTCTCTTGGAGAGGGGAGGAATTGGTGCTTGGCAATCGCCAGAGAGCCCTGGGCCCATGTGTGGCTCTGGACCTGCCCACCTGCTCCTGACACCCCTTCCTGAACCTCAGCTATGGCAGCCCCCACCTGCCCCCAGCCTGCTCCACCCCCAGGGTCACCGGGTCACTCCTACCCCGAGCCCCTTTCTGTCACCTCCTGCATAGGGTCCTGGAGTGGAAGGGGCCTGGACTTCATCCCTGGTCACTGTAGGGTGACCACAGCTAAAAGAGCTTCCCACTGCAAGCAGAGAATGGACAGGCTGTGTCCTCATGTGCCCGGTATTTTGAAAAGAGAATCTGCTGTTGGTCCCACCCATCCTTCCTTTAAGGTGAAGGAGCACTCGACAGCCCAGGAGTTGGGGCTGAGTCAGGACTCGAGGTTGCCAGCAACAGAAAACCCAAAATCTAGTTTAAACTCTGCAGGGGGCTTTGCTTGTTTCTTGGCTTTCTGCTCACGTGTCTGAAGTTCCGAGTGAGGACGGCAGTGGAACTAAACAGTGCCGCCCAGGGCTCAGCTCTTCCCAGCTTTCCTCTCTGCCTTTGAGGTCTCAGCTGGATCGTGGTCATGGGAGGGAGGCCAGTGCTCTGCCTGGTGCTGGGGCCTGTGAACTTCACGTTACTGCTGTGACAACCACAAGCTTCGTGGCCTAAGTTCATTATCCTACAGCTGTAGGGGTCAGAAGTCCTGAAGCCAAGGCTGATTGCCCTGGAGAGTCCAGGGGAGACTGTTTCCACACCTTTTCCAGTTTCTAGACGCCACCAACATCCCTTGGCTCGCAGCCCCTTACCTTATCTTTAATACCAGCATCACAGCATTTTCACCTCTCACTTCTCTTGATGCCTCTCCTCAGGCCTGACCCTCCTGAAATGGTAAAGAATGAAGAGGTGTAAGTGATGAGGGAGAGGCTGAGAGATAATGGTACAGACAGGGAGAAAAAAAGAAGGGCCCTCAGTCAATTCCAGCTCCCAGCGCCCCTAGAGGACAGAGTGGAACTGCCCCACAAGGTGTCCAAAGCTGTCAATCTTTACAGAAGCAGACTGCCTCATCTTTCTCCCCCAGAGCATCTGGTGGGTTTGAACTACAAATCCTTAGGCTAACAGCCACACACTTAACCACTGCACCACCAGGGCTCCTCATAATTGACACAACAGGAAATTTCTGACCTAAATAAGGCCAAAATCTAAAAGCCTGCCTACGATTACTCTGACTGAGTCACTGGGCTTCCGACGTGAAGAATGGGGGCATCGAGGGGGAGTGTGTTGAGTGACCCTTCTCCAGAAGACTCGCCCTCCTAAAGGGCTCTGTCGTTAGGGGCCCTGTGCAACAGAACGAAACCCTGCCCGGTCCTGCGCCAGCCTCGCAGTCTTTGCTGCTTGAGCCCCTTGTCGCAGCCACTGTGTCAGTCCATCTCGTTGAGGGCCTTCCCCTTTTGCGCTGACCCTCCACTTTACTAGCATGATATCCTCCTCCAGGGAATGTCCCTCCTGACAACATGACCAAAGCAAGTGAGACAAAGTCTGGCCGTTCTCACTTCCAAGGAGCATTCTGGCTTCACTTTTTCAGGACAGATTTGTTCATTCCGGCAGTCCGTGATATTTTCAGTGTTTTTCACCAACACCCTAATTCAAAGGCATTAACTGTTCTTTGGTCTTCCTTATTCATTGTCCACACATGAGGCAATGGAAAATACCATGGCTTGGGTTAGGCGCACCTTAGTCTTCAAAGTGATATCTGTGCTTCTTAACACTTGAAAGAGGTCTTTTGCAGCAGATTTGCCTAGTGCAATACATCTTATTTGTTGAGTGCTGAGCCAAGCTTCTGGGCCTAGCCAGCTCTGATTTCTCCCTCAGTGTGGAAGTGGGGAAAGCAATGTGCCAAGTCATGAGGGAAAGTTAGCTTGAACCCAAAGTTACATCCAGCTATGATGTCCTTCAAGGAAAAAGGCAGCTGACATTCTTGGAACGGTCAAGAACTCAAAGCCTATAGCATCCAGGAGCCAACCAAGAGGTGGATAGAAACAAAGAGTAGGAAAAGGCTTGCAGGAATGGGAAGTGTACCCTAAAACAAGAAAGCTAGACAACAGGGGACAGGCCATGGAAATAAATCCCCCTCAGCCCTCTGGATGGATGGATGGATGAAGGGTAGGTGCATGGGTGGATGGGGTGTCCCAGACCCAGCTAGGAGTTCACTGGGGGCTCTGCCAAGACCCTCATCCCATTAGCACTGGCCACCACACTGCCCTGCCCTGCTGTCCCACAGGTAAGGACTTTCCCTACCTTGTTGGTTTGTAACTTGTGGAAACCTGTTTCGTCTCGGAAGCATCAATTTGCTATCTGTAAGTTGAAGGTCACACAGCACCACCTCCTGGGGTTCCTATGAACAAGGCACTTAACACCATGCCCACTTGTACTCAGCCCCCAATAAGTGGTACCCAACAATCCATTTTGCTGTTTCTCCCCAGAACCCCAGCACAGGCTCATATTCTTCCAGTAACAGGGGGCTCACTGCCAGGAAGAAGGCAGCCTCTCCTCTCTGCCCCCCACCCTTCTCTCTGCCTTCACTGTTGGGCGGATGGAGGGAGGGTAGGTAGATGGAAAGATGGATGGTGGGTGGATGGATGGGTGAGTGGATGGACAGTGGGGGGATGGATGGTGGGTGACTGGGTGGATGGATGGATGGATGGATGGTGGGTGAGTGGTGGATGGATGGGTGAGTGAACGGTGAGTGGATGGTGGATGGATGGTGCCACTCCATTCTCTGGCATTGGCTGCGGTTATTCTTCAGCAGCCGACTGCACCAAGGCCCAAGGCAGGAGGTAGGGACCCAGAGGATGTCCAAACCCTCATCCCTTCTTCACACCCCACCCGTGGGTCACTAGGGGGACTGGTAGGGAGACCCGTGGGGCAGTCTAGGTTGGCTCTGTGCTGGAGCCAGCCCTTGGGCTAGACTTGGCAGGAGTCCAGGACCAAGGGCAGGTTTGCGAGCGTGGGTGCCACGTCTGGCAGGTTTGCTGACAGGAAGTGCCTGAGGACGCACAGAGCTGGAACAAAGTGGCAGCAAGGTAGTGCCTCCTGGGGCACTCGGGCCTGAGGAGTCCCCACTTGGCATGAGGGAGGCCCCGAGACCATCCCCACGCCCGCCTCCTGTGGGCTATGACCAGAGACAGCCAAGCTCTCCAATGTCACAGTTGTTCTGATGTTTCTGTGACAGGCCCTAATTAATAGGCTCTGCTCCCTTGACACTCTGTTGTTAGTGCCTACCCCACCTCAGGTCCCCCCTCTGCAGGCTCAGACACCCTAGGGGAGTCCTACCCCTCCCCTAGCTCCACACACACCTGGCCACCCTGCCCCCACAGTGTCCAACATCCCGCCCCTTCGCTGTGAAGCCTTCCAGGTCACCAAATCCCAGGCAGGCATCTTCCTCCCATCCCTTCCCCTGCCACTCTGAGCCCCTGGAGGCCACCGTCCCTAACCTGCTCCTTATCCCCACCACCCCTCCAGGAGACTTACAAGAGCCATCAGGGGTCCCACCTCCATTAGGGTCCCCCCCAGCCGCAGGGAGGTTGCAAATGCTGACCTGATGCCTCCCCTCCCCCACAAAGCCTTCTTCCCGAGCTCCCTAGGCAGAGTTTGGGTTCCAGGAGCCACCTGACCTGTCTCCTCATCAGTGGTACCCGTCCCCCACCCTCTACAAGCGACAGCCACCACCCCCCACAAGGCTCCCAGTCCAGGCCCTCAAACCCGATCCTGCACCATAGCCACCTGTGGCTGCCCAGGCCTCCCACCTCTGCCGAGAAGCCTTCCTGACTTTGTCTCTTCCACTCCCAGTGAATCCTCAACCCCTGCGTCAGACCCACGTCCTCCAGGAAGCCACCTCAGTCCTGTGCCATGCTCCCTCCTGCATGCACCCCTCCCTCACCAAATCCAGGGAGGGGGACCTGCAGAAAGTGCGAGGACAGGTCTCCCCATCCCAGCTGCCAGGGTCCCCAGAACACAGCAGCCACAGAGGCAGGAAGCTCCAGCACGGCTCAGGGACCACATGTCCCTAGTGGGCTCCTCATGGCTCATGGGCCCTGGGAGCCCGCAGACTGCAGGACACTGGCCATGGGGAAATCTTCACATCACCCTGGCAGGTACCTCTCCCTCCCTGCACTGTTCTGGCCCTACTGGAAACACACCACCCCCTCTGCGGCCTGCCTTCAGGACTGGGCTCCCCCTCCTGCTGCCGGCAGCCTCTGCAGGCCCTGGGGAATGAGGGGGCAGGATGGGGGGCCCGAGGATGGGGGAGGACCTGGGGGGCAGGCTCTGGGTGGGAGACCCGGGGGACCTGGGGAAAGAGGGGGCCAGGCCCTGGGTGGGGGACCCAGGGTGGCGGGGCGCCAGGGGGAGCAGGCTCAGGCCCAGGCCCAGCCAGGCCCCTTCAGGCACTCAGTGCTGCACAAACTTGTCTCCCAGGATTTTTCCACACAGAACACATCTCCAAGGGAAGCAACCGGTCTGATGAGCCAGGGTGGGCGTTCCCACCCCGCCCGCTGGTCCCCCAACGGCCGGCCCACAGCGAGAAGCTGCCCCAAGAAGCTAGCCAGCCGGGATGGAGTCCAGGATGCCTCAGCCGGTGGGCTCCGGGATGGGCCGGGGGCCCAGCGGGGTCCGGACCACCCACGGGGTAGGTCTCCTGCCCCCACCCCTCCGGGCCCCTCCCAGCCTCACCCTCACACTGACCTCAACCTGCACGCCCTCCTCCCCTGTGCTCCTCATTGACTCTGATCCCCTCCTCACCCTGTTCTCTGCCCCCAGCTGCTACCCTAGCACACAGAGTCCCTCCCCACCTGTGACCCTCCCAGGACTGACTGCAGATTGGGGACGATATCCTTGGGGTAGCAAGGCCGGGGGTGTGGGGCTTCCCGTGGGGCAGGAACCCCAGAGCCCCAGGAGAGAGCTGTTGAGGTGGGTGCCCATGGTAGGCTGGTTTGGAGGCCCAGGAGGTGTGTCTGAGGTCACTCAGGCTAGCCTCCCCCACTTGCTGGCTCTGGGGCTAACTCTCCTGCCCTCCGGTCCAGAGTCTGCTCTGGACACTAGGTCTAACCTGGTGAGTCTCAGAAGGAGCGCACTGGTCAGACTAGCTGGGGCACTGAGAGGCCTTCCGGGGTGCGAGCCCTGCGAGCCCCTCCCTCTCCTCCTCTCCTCAACTCCAGCCTCTGGGGTTGCAGCACCAGCTCCCACCTTCCTGGTTCTTTGCTGACAGACCCCCACTCCTGCCCCCCACCCAAGCCAGGCCAGTACTGACACGAGGCCCCTGAGTCAGCCCCCCGCCCCGGGCAGCCCCGCCTGCCCTGCATAGCACAGCCCTGTGTCCTGACTCATTCACTGGGAACAGCCTCCCACCCCCATGGCCTAGGGGCTGGAGCCCAGGAGGAGCGCCAGGGTCCCTAGGCAGTGGGCAGCCGCCCAGCGAGGCCTCTGCCATCTACAGGATGAAGGCCTGGCAGGGCATAAGCAAGGGCAAGGGTGGTCGGTCCACATGCTTCTGGGGTCTCCCTGGGGCCAAGGGCCGAGACTAGAGCCTGCTTTGTGGCACCCCCACCAGCCCTTTATCCTCAGCCCTGACACGGACCCCTGCCTAGGCCTCACCCAACCCCACAGTGGGCTCTGGAGGTGCTCATCCCTGGAGCTACCTAGAGGCTTTCTGGCCCCGGGGAGCAGGAACTACTCACTCAGCCTCCGGGGCAGAGCACGTTTGAGGGGTCTAGTTCTGGAGGGAGTGCTCTCTGTGTCTCCACGGCCCTGACCTGGCCACAGGCTCGCCTGGAGCCCCCCACCCCCCAGGTCTTTCATAGCACTCAGACCATGCCAGGGCCCATCTGTCCGTCTCCATCTGGCCCTTACGGGGTGGAACAAGAAGGGCCTGTGGATCCGTCTCTTGTCCTGGGATGAGCTGAGAGGACTCACACGGTGGAGCCTGTTCTTCCGCCCAAACTCCACCTTAAGCAGCAGGCGGCCTCTCCCTCCCACCTGGCCCAGGTGTCCCCGCCCCCAGCTGAGCTCAGGGCTGGGCAGGCGTCTGTCTCCAGGCCAGCTTTGGGTGCAGCCAGTGGGGAGGGGACTTCGGGGACAGGGCCTCGCGGGAAGAGACGTTGGACAAAGTCTGGGCTGGAGGCGGCTGCCAAGGCCCAGGCCAGGCGGACCCAGCCCGCCGTCACCGCCATGCAGGACGGTAACTTCCTGCTGTCTGCCCTGCAGCCTGACGCCGGCGTGTGCTCCCTGGCGCTGCCCTCGGACCTACAGCTGGACCGCCGGGGCGCTGAGGGGCCAGAGGCCGAGCGGCTACGGGTGGCCCGAGTCCAGGAGCAGGTCCGCGCCCGCCTCCTGCAGCTGGGCCAGCAAGCACGGCACAACGGAGCAGCCGAGCTTGAGGGGGCCGCTGAGGCCACAAGAGGTGAGCCAGCTGGGAGGTGGGCAGGGTGGTGGGTGCAGGTGTGGGCGGCAGACAAAGGGGGTACCTCTGGCTGTGCGGTGTTCAAGGGCCTCAGCAGGCTCTGTCCCTGACTCACAGTGCCTCGCACTGAGTCACCCGTCCCCGCCCGTCCCGCCCAGGCGTGGGGAGAGCCATAGGTGGGGCTACACAGCTGCCTCAGCCTGGACCCCGAGTCCTCCTGGGCTGGGCCCTACCTGCTCCCTTGATGTGAGTAACAGCCCTACCGGGAAGCAAGGACAGAGAGGACTGAGGACGTGGTGTCCAGGCCAGGTCCAGGAATACCTCTGTCCTCTGTCGGCAAACCAGAACACACATACGCGCCCAGGCTACACCCCAGATTCATGCCCATTCCCAGAGACACCCTCAGACACACATGCATATAGAGACACATGTACACAGACCCACAGAGACACCCGTACACACACATGCACATGTGGACACAGACACACACACATACGCTCATGGACATGCACACATACGGGCACAGTGCACAACACACAGTACACACACATTCACATACTCATAAACACGAGTATGTAGACACATGGGCATATATGCGTACAGACAGACACATGGACCCACATAAACACACATACACACACACAGACTCACACTCATACATGCACATACACGTGCACACCCAGTCACACACCCACACAGACACGCTCAGCACTCACTCCCAGGCTCGGCATCACCCTCTTGCCCCATGGGAATGAGTGGAACAGAAATGTGGGGGCGGGGGTCTGGGAAATCCTGGACAAGAGCCACCGCCTGACTGGATCAGGGCCTCCTTCGGGAATTGCAGGGGAGGGCGCAGCTGGACTGACCCAGATATTCTCCATGAGAAAAGCAGGTAGGTGAGTGCCCCTGGTGCCAGCCAGACCCATCAGTGCAGGGATCCCAGCTCCTGGGGGGGGGTGAGTGTGGGTGTGGGCATGTGTGCACATGTGCCTATGTGTGCCTGTGTGCATGGGAATGTGTATGTACTTGTGCATGTGTGTATTTGTGTGCACATGTGTGCCTGTATGACAGCATGAGTCTGTGTGTGGAATGAATGTGTGTGCATGTGTGCACACCCCCAGCAAGCTCAGGTGTGAGTGTGTGCATGTGTGTGCCTACACATCCCATGGATGCAAGCTCAGGTATGTGAGTGTGAGTGTGTGTGTGCACGTATGTCCCAAAGATGCCGCGAGCTCAAGGATCTGTATGTGTGTGTATGTGTGCACACATATCCCACAAATCAGTGAGCTCAGGGATGTGGTGTGTGTGTGTGTGTGCGCATGCACGTCCCACAGATGCAGCAAGCTCAAATGTGAGAGTGTGTGTGTGTGTGTGTGCGTGCATGTCCCAGAGATGCCGTGAGCTCGGGGGCAGGGGGTGCGTGTGTGTGTGTGTGCACATCCCACGGATGCAGTGAGCTCAGGGATGTGAGTGTGTGTATGTTCACACATCCCACAGATGCAGCGAGCTCGGGTGTGTGTGTGCATGTGTGTGTGTGTGTGCGTGCATACGTCCCCACATATGTATCAAGCTCTGTGCAGTAGTTCTAGAAATTCCATTTTCCTCCCTCTTCAGGCTACAGCCTTAACAGGGCTTAAGGCTAGATAGTAAGACAAACCTCCCAGAATGTTGGGCCACAGGCAGGCCATCCCAGTACTACCACTGCCAAGAGCAGGGTCAGTGAGGGCTGGCCAGTTTAGCCTGGATTCCTGGGCCTCGGCCTTGCTGGAAGACAAGTAGGTGCAAGGGGTCACAGGGTGGAAGAGGGAGTGTGCGGGGTTAATTACCGTCCTGGCCACCCTGACAATTAGGGGAGCAGCATTATAATTTGGAGTCAGGGTGAGGTTCCTCAAATTGGGGGTGTGCCCCCCCTAGGCTGAGCTTCACTGGCGTCAAAGGGTTAATAGCCCCTGCCAGAAGCCTCATTAACTAGGGTGGCTCTGGGGAGCATGCTGGGTGTGGGAGAGTCTCCCGAGACCACCAGCTGCAGCACATGTTCCAGGAGGGACAAGAGTCCCCCTCCCCTGAGCCCCACCCTGAGCCTCTTTGGGCCCAATCTCTCTGCCCAGGAAAGTTTTCCCCACAACCGGGACCCTGGCAGAGGGTCCCACAACCACCTCCACCCATCCAAAGACCCTATCCTGGCACTGACCGCAGGCCCCCAATCCCGTCTCCTATTGGCTGTTCCTCTGCTCTGGTCTTGCTTTGACTTTTACGTGTGCACACACACACACACACTCACTCACATCCCCAAGCTCACTGCATCTGGGGGACAACCTGTTTTCTAGCTCTTCCTATGTGCCTGTCCATCTACATACTCCTCCGTCTGCCCACTCTATCATCCACCCTTGTGTTCGTCCATCTCTCCCTTCCACTCCATCCATCCTCTGGTTCTTCCAAACGTCTGACCATCCTTCCTTCCCTCCACCCATCTGACTCCCCATCCACTCACCCACCCAGCCCTCTGGCCCTCCCTCCACCCACACTCAGCTAGGAGCCCCTTCTCAGTCCACCCATCTGTCCACCCACACTGTGTCAGCTGACACCTGTGTCCTCAGTCTGTGGGTGACTATGCAGGAGAGGTGTGGCCACAGCTTCAGGCTCTGTGGGTGGGAGAGGGGACTGCCCATTAGGGCAGACAGGTCCAGGGAGTTGGGTGCCGTTGGCACATACGAGTCATCTGCGGGTGACCCATGGCACAGCTGGAGTCTGGGCAGTGGAGAACCTCAGTGTGGGCAGGTCAGTGTGGGCTCCCTAGAGGTGGGTCCCTGGAGAGCTGAGGACGGAGTCCCCAGGACATTCCTGAGGGCCTGGATAGAGGTGGGCCCCACCCGCACAGCTGGAGGGCTGGGTGGGCTGGGAGAGGGCTGTGACGAGGCTGTGGCAGGGTGGAGGGGTCTGGGGCTCTCGGGGGAAGCGGGCCCAGCCAGCCTCCCACTGTCGCTGTGTCCAGGCACGTCCAGAGGTCAGTACCACACCTTGCAGACTGGCTTCAGCTCCCGCTCGCAGGGCCTGAGTGCAGACAAGACGTCGGTGAGTGCTGGACCCCAGCCCAGAGCGAGGGAGGGTCTGGCCCATGGTCGGCTGGGAGACTCTGGGGCTCAGCTGGGAGTCTCTTGGGTCAGAGAGCAGGCACCTGCACCAGGTGACTGCCTTCTCCCCTCCAGACCTTCCGGCCGACCACCAAGCCCCCCTACAGCCCTGCCTCCTGGTCCTCCCGTTCGGCTGTGGACCTGAGCCCCAGCCGCAGGTTGAGCTCTGCCCACAGTGGGAGCAGCCCCTTTGTGGCCACGGGGTACGGGGCAGCACCGCCCACAGCACCCGTGCCCACCCGGCCTGTGTCATTCCATGAGCGCAGCACTCTGGGCGGCCGGGCCGACTATGACACACTGTCCCTGCGTTCCCTACGGCTGGGGCCCGGAGGCCTGGATGACCGCTACAGTGTGGTGTCCGAGCAGCTGGAGCCCATGGCTGCCTCCGCCTACAGGGCCTTCGCTTATGAGCGCCAGGCCAGCTCTGGGTCCAGCCGGGCAGGGGTGCTGGACTGGCCAGAGGCCACCGAGGGGCCTCCCAGCCGGACCATCCGTGCCCCTGCCATGCGTACCCTGCAACGCTTCCAAAGCAGCCATCGCAGCCGTGGAGTGGCCGGGGCAGCGGCAGGGGCCGCGCTGGAGCCTGTGGCCCGGGTGCCCTCTGTGCGCAGCCTGAACCTCAGCCTGGCTGACTCGGGCCACCTGCCAGACATGGCCAGGCTGGACAGCTACGGGGGCCACCGTACCCTGCAGAGGCTCAGCAGCGGGTGAGTGGCAGCAGTGTGGAAGTGGGGGGACTCCCGCCATAGCCCCTGAGATCTGGCTGACCCCCGACCCTGACCCCTGGCCTGCAGGTTTGATGATATTGACCTGCCCTCAGCCGTCAAGTACCTCATGGCCTCAGACCCCAACCTTCAGGTGCTGGGAGCTGCCTACATCCAGCACAGGTGTTACAGTGACACAGCTGCCAAGAAGCAGGTGACTGCCCACAGCCCCATTCACTGCCCCTCACTGGTCCTGAGCCCCCTGCTGACCACCCTCAGTGACCCCACCTCTTGCTGACCTCTGGTCCCTGACCACCCCTCACTGCTCCCCGAGCTAACTGGGGAGACCCCATTCTGCCCAGGGCTTCTATAGTGAAGAAGGGCAGGCGTGGGTACATACCTGTCCACTCCTGCATGTGTCTGCATGCCTTTACACACATCTGTGAATACAGCGCTGATGGCATAGTGCCTAAGGCATTTGACTGCTAACCAGAAGACTGGAGGTTCAAACCCACCAGCCACTCCTGGGAAGGAAGATTAGGCAATCTACTTCCATAGTGATACCGCCTCGGAAACCCAAGGATGGGTCGCTATGAGTCGGTCCCGACTCAATGGCAGTGGGTTGGGTTTTTCGGTTTGGTGGATACAGCACAGCTGGATATGTCTGCACACATCTGCCTGCACCTGCACACACCTGGTCACATATGCATACATCTACACAGCTCCACACACTGGGATTCATACAGGATAAGTCTGCACTCGTCTGCCTATGTCCCCACACATCCCCATACACCTGCATACATCTGTGTCCACCTGGGTGTCTCCACATTCCTGCATAAACCTGCACATGGCTGCATATACCTGGATAGACCTAAATCCATCCACTTACACCTGCACAAGGACCTGTGTTGGCAGAGTGCCTAAGGCATGTGCCTTCTGACCAGAAGGCTGGTGGTTCAAACCCACCAGCTGCTCCATGGGAGGAAGATGAGACAATGTACTTCTGTAAAGTACAGACACCCAACAGGGGTCGCTTTGAGTCACAATCGACTCAATGGCAGTGAGTTTGGGTTTTTGAGTTACACCTGCACACATCTCCATACATCAAGATGTCTGCACACACCTAGACATGTCTGCACACTTCTGTACATACCTGCACACATCTCTATACATCTGAATATGTCCACACATACCTGAAAACTACAAGCATCTGTGTCCATCTCATGCGTTTGCACACCCCTGGCCATATCTGCACACACCAGCATGCCTGTGCCCACAGGCCCGCAGCCTTCAGGCTGTGCCGAGGCTGGTGAAGCTCTTCAACCACGCCAACCAGGAAGTGCAGCGCCACGCCACCGGTGCCATGCGCAACCTGATCTATGACAACGCCGACAACAAGCTGGCCCTGGTGGAGGAGAACGGCATCTTTGAGCTGCTGCGTGCACTGCGCGAGCAGGATGATGAGCTACGCAAGAACGTCACAGGTGCTCCGCCCTGTGCTTCCCCCACACTGTCCCCGCCTGTCCCCACA